TAGTGTGGCTGCTATGCTACCAAGAACCCAGGTGAGCTTGAGGGCCCACCAGGAGCCAGAGCTCGTGTAGAGGGCTCTGTGCCGATGGCTCTGGCCACACATGGATCTGTGGGGATCTACCATATTTGAGAACAAAGTCCACAGGCCTTTCTGGAGAAGGTGGGGAGTCAAAGCCCGCTCCACAACCAGACAGTGGGGGAATCTCTTCAAGGGAATCCTCTTAGAGACTTCCTGCCCCAGGAATCCACTCCTGTTGTTTTTTTAGTAGGACCGTGTGGCGTTATCTGATTAAACTATGACCATGTAGATCATTGTTGCCATAGGCGCCGACTCCGCGGGTGCTGGAGCACCCACGGGGAAAAATTGGTGGGTGCTCTGCACCCACTGGCAGCCAAGCTCCCGCCCTGCCCCTCCCCCCCAGCTCACCTCACCTCCGCCTCCTCCCCTGAGCGCGCCGCATCCCCACTTCTCCTCCCAGCGCTTGCTGCCACGAAACAGTTGTTTTGCAGCAAAACAAGCTGTGGGAGGGAGGGGAAGGAGCGGGAACGTGGCACGCTCAGGGGAGGAGGCGGGGAAGAGGTGGGGTCCGGGGCGGGGATTTGGGGAAGGAATCCAATAGGGGCAGGGAGGGGGCGGAGTTGGGGCAGGGACTTTGGGGAAGGGGTTGGAATGGGGGTGGGGCAGGGGCGGGAGGGGGCAGGGCAGGGGTGAAGTCAGGGCGGGGCCGGGGGTAGGGTGGGTCAACCACCCATCGGTGCCAGGAGAAGTTGGCGCCTATGATTGTTGCTACCAATGTTATATAATGGCAACAAAACTTGTACAAGATGTGGCATGTAAGATGTCTATGGAAAGGATATGATTAAGCTATTTGTATGCATGTATCATTTTTGTAGCTGAAGTTAGGAATATTAACTATGTAGCTGTATTTCTAAGGCGTTTGCTTCTGGGTAGCACCAACAAGGTGTTTAGCCAGCACATTGTGAAGGAACTATTCAAGTAGATGGCCCATTAAAGGACACTTAACTTACAATGGAAGACGCCTATCTACTCTTAATGGACTTTCCTGCTATGAGTAAGCGAAGTCATGCATGGACATATCACTTGCCCATGTGACTCCAAATTTACCTGTAATTTTCCACCAGCTGTGCTGAGGGTTTTGTTTCAAACAATGGATTTCCCTCCACATGTCAGACGCTATAAAAGGCCCTAGAAACATCTCCATTTTGCCTCTTTCCTGCTCAAAACTCTGGACTATGAACTTATACTAATGGGAGCCTTCTAACTAAGGGACTGAGGACCTTCCAGTGATTTGGAAGCAACCAGAGACTTAACAAGCCAGCAGTTTATTCCATCACTGCCACAAGCCTGATCCAAGAACTTTGCATTTATTGTATGTATTTGATTCCTTTAACCAATTTTAACTCTCACCTTTCTTTCTTTCTATAAATAAACCTTTAGATTTTAGATACTAAAGGACTGGAAACAGCGTGATTATTGGGTAAGATCTGAGATATATATTGACCTGGGTGTGTGACTTGTCCTTTGTGATCAGAAGAACCTTTTGTTTGATGAGACTGGTTTTAAAGAACCAGTCATCTTTAAGTCTGGTGTTTTTGGTGGTGATACAAGGACTGGAATACCTAAGGAAACTGCTTTCCTGACTTCTTGTTAGCCAGTGTGGTGAAACAGAAGTTTACTTTTGCTGCTGGTTTGATATATCTTAAGGCACTAGTTCTCAACCAGGGGTCCGGGGCCCCCTAGGGGGCTTCGAGCAGGTTTCAGGGGCCCTCCAAGCAGGGCCAGCATCAGACTCGCTGGGGCCCAGAGCAGAAAGCCAAAGCCCCACCGCATGACGTTGAAGCCCAGGTCCCTGAGCCCTGCCACCCAGGGCTGAAGCTGAAGCCTGAACCAATGTAGCTTCCTGGGGGCTCCTGTGGCATGGGGCCCCAGGCAATTGCCCTACTTACTACCCCCTAATGCCGGCTCTGGCTTTTATATGCAGAAAACCAGTTATTGTGGCACAGGTGGGCCATGGAGTTTTTATATCATGTTGTGAGTGGGCCTCAGAAAGAAAAAGAATGAGAATCTCTGTCTTAAGGGAGAATAACTGCCAGTTTTGGGGTGCATCTGCCCTATTTCTCAGCAGTTTGTCCTGAATTTGGTATTCTCAGTTGTGACCCACAGAGGCACGGTGACAGAGGGGATGATCCGGGGAATGAAATTCACTACCTTGTAGCTTCACTAGAAATAATGAGGGCAGCATTTGACCCTAACTTGGCAGTGGGACATGCTCTCCATTAACACCACAGGTCAGGGATGGATCACAAAACATTATACTGTAGCTGGAGCTTTTCCTCCTGGAAATAAAAATCCTACAAAGGAGAAAAGAAAAAGAAAAAGAATGGCAGGTGAAAAGCACGAAGTGGCACTTAAAACAAGACTGACCAGCAAGATAAGAGAAGTGAGGCAGCAGAATACAGAATTAGCCTGGCAGATAATGAAGCAGCAGTTTTTATCATGCTTTATTACATCTACCTAAACATCTAAATCTAAATCTAAAATCTTTTTAATCTGAAGATATTAAAAAAAACAACCTTGCAAAACCAATGTGATAGTATTGATTGAAGTAATACAGCAAACAGACTTTAAAATGGCTGCACCAAAACCACAAGAACAGCCATACTAGGTCAAACCAATGGTCCATGCAACCCAGTGGTTCTCACCCAGGTAGGGTGACCAGACAGCAAATGTGAAAAATCGGGACAGGGGGTGGGAGGTAATAGGAGCCTATATAAGAAAAAGACCCAAAAATCAGAACTGTCCCTATAAAATCGGGACATCTGGTCACCCTACAACCAGGGGTACATGTACCTCTGAGGGTACACAGAGGTCTTCCAGGGGGTACATCAACTCATCTAGATCTTTTTCTAGTTTTACAACAGGTTACATAAAAAGCACTAGTGAAGTCAGTACAAACTAAAATTTCATAGACAATGACTTATTTATACTGTTCTATATACTACACACTTAAATGTAAGTATAAAATGTGTATTCCAATTGATTTTATAATTACCATATATACTCGTTCATAAGTCGATTTTTTTTAGTAAAAAAGGGAAGCACCAGAGAAGGGGGTCAGCTTATGAACGGGTATAGAGAGGGAGAGGTGGGACACATCCTTGCTCCCCCCAACAGAGGGGGCAAGGAGAGGCAGCACAGCCAGCAGAGCCAGAAGGGAAGAGGCGGGGCAGAGTCTCTCCGCTTCTGGCCACGCTGCTCTCCCCCCAGCCTCCAAAGCAGCTGCAGCTCCGGGGCTGGCAGGCTGCAGCTGTGCCACTTGGCCTCGCTCCCCAGAGCAGGCTGTGGCCGCGCCACCTGGCCCGCTGGAGCACGCTGCAGCCATGCCACCAGGCCCAGCCCGCCGGAGCACGCTGCGGCCATGCCACCAGGCCCAGCCCGCCGGAGCACGCTGCGGCCATGCCACCAGGCCCAGCCCGCTGGAACATGCTGCGGCCATGCCGCCCGGTCTGGCCCGTCGGAGCAGGCTGCGGCCACGCTGCCCAACCTGCTGGAGCAGCTCCAGCCAGGCCAGAGACATCCTCCCCTGGCCCTCCCCAGATAAGGTGGGAAAGGATGGGATGGGGAGAGTGTGAGGGTCCTGGGCTGGGGTGGGGATGGGGTCATGTGGGGGTGGTCACAGGGGTTACTCCCCTGACTCCCAGCTTCTCCCCCCCCCAAAAATTTCCCCACCAGTTGCTGTCCCGGCCCGTCAAGGTAAGCAGCTGGCGCGCCGGGACACTTTGTTTACTTAGGTTTACCTCCGTGCCTGCGGACGCTCGAGGTAAACAAAACATCTCGGCCCACCTGCAGCTTATCCTGATGGCCCGGGAGCCAAAGTTTGCTGACCCCTGAATTATAGGGTCAGCTTATGAATGGGTTATAAAAATTTTCCATTTTTACTTATCCATCTTGTGGGGGTCGGCTTATAAATGAACTGGTTTATGATCGAGTATATACGGTATATGGTAAAAATGAGAAAGTAAGCAATTTTTCAGTAATAATGTGCGGTGACACTTTTTGGTATTTTTATGTCTGATTTTGTAAGCAGGTAGTTTTTAAGTGAGGTGAAACTTGAGTGTACACAAGACAAATCAGACCCCTGAAAAGGTACAGTAGTCTGGAAAGGTGTTGAGGACCACTGATCTAGCCCAATATCCTGTCTTCCAACAGTCACCAATGCCAGATGCTTCTGAGGGCATGACTAGAACAGGGCAATTTTGAGTGATCGTGTCACCCCAGCCCAACTTCTGGCAGTTGGAGGCTTAGGAACACCGGGAGTATGGGTTTCATCTTTGGTATGTTTTAAAAAATCCATTAAATATTTATGATGCTGGATGATATTAATCATAATACTCTTCACCAGAACATCCCTTTTCCTCTGTAGGTCTCAAATGCCAAGATTTTCCAAAATCACTAGTGATTTGGGGCCTGATTTTTGGAGGTGATTTGGTACTTAGAACTTTTTGAAAATCAGGCCCCTTTAATGTATCTGAAATTGGACACCCAGAAATTGAGACACCCAAAATTACTAGTCACTATGGTAAATCTTGACTAACATGTTTTTAAAGAACAGGTGTCCATTACTATCCCCAGTTTACAGATGGAGTAAGTGAGGCACAGAGAGACCAAGTGACTTGTCTAAGTTCACACAGCAAGTTAGTGGCAGATTCGAGAACATAAACTAGTTCTCCTTACTCTGCACTTGGCCATATCTCATCTAAAGTGCTTTAAAGTAGACATTTTCATGCATAAGGTCCCATTCACCTGTGATACACTTTTAATCCTTAAAGCACTGAGGAGTCTTGGGTGTGGTTACTTGAGAGACCACCATTCACCCCGGCATCTTGTCGCAGCAGTTAGGAGTGGCTGGGAAGCTCTTACTCTCAGTTCTTAGGACTGAACATTCCATGACTGGCAACAGAACATTCTCATTTAAAAAGAACAGGAGTACTTGTGGCACCTTAGAGACTAACAAATTTATTTGAGCATAAGCTTTCATGGGCTACAGCCCACTTCTTCGGATGCAACTAACTAACACGGCTGCTACTCTGAAATTCTCATTTAAGGGTCTCCACCTTTGAGATCTGCAGGAGATGATGTCAGACCCATTAATTTTGTGTAGTATTTGAATGACTGTCATTGTTTTGTTTAAAATTTGACTGTTTGAGTGCTATATGTAATTTGTTTTAAATTTTTGCAATTGAGGTGCTATCCAAATTAATAAAATATTCACAAATTCCATACTGTAATTAAACAGATTCTGAGTCAATATTTTACTCTAATTAGCAAGTAGGATAAGAAGGATAATGGGTTACAAAATGTTCTCGCTTCACTGATTTTGACACTTGCAGGTTAGTTTTAATTATTTATAATAATTAATAATGTGCTGGTTAATTTACTATAACATATTTCTGTAAAAATAATGAAGTTTTAGTGACAAAAGATTTTACCATAGCATTTGCTATTAAATCTTTGCTGAGTAGTATGCATAATAGTGAATTGCAGATTAGGGAGGTTCTAATATATTTAAAGGGTTAACTTGAGAGTTTGTTCTTTTAATGGCCCAGGCAGGGGCTGCTCTGTGTTTTTTGCCGCCCCAAGCACAGCAGTCAGGCGGCCTTTGGTGGCATGCTTGCGGGCGGTCCGCTGGCCACGCGGATTCGGCGGTGTTTCTGAGGGTGATCTGCCGGTCCCGCGCCTTCGGTGTCCCCGCCACAGAATTGCCACCGAAAACGCGGAACTGGCAGACCTCCCGCAGGCATACCGCTGAAGGCTGCCTGACTGCCGCCCTCACAGCGACCGGCAGGCTGCCCCCCGCGGCTTGCCACCCCAGGCACGCGCTTGCTGCACTGGGTGCCTGGAGCCATCCCTGGGCCCAGGTGTTTGGTTTATTTTAAACTTAATGGTATAACTGAGGCCTGATGCTGCAAACATTTATTCCCATGAAATCAATAGACTACTCATACGAGAAAAATTATGCCTGTGTATAAGTGTTTGCAGAATCAGGCCTTAAACAGCAAATTTTAAAGAATATGTCCTGAATTCATTTCATTGAAAAAATTTCTTTAAAAATTTTAAAGATTTTCTGCTTGCCTGTTTGTTAGAGGGTCTTTTACGCAGGCCTGAGAATAACAATAGTACATACAACATTTCCAGATGTAAATGTGACAGATGTCGTCTCTCTATTCTGCTAGCAGCACTGAAGTTCCTCAGCTATGATATCACATCTGTCAACAATGCGTATCCTAGAGTGTAACTCATCTACACTTACCTAATGAGAAAACTGGTTGTAACTCTTTGTTTTACATCAGCTGAAGCAATGACCATGACACACCCAGGAATAAAAAACATACACATCTTTGAACATACTGAACCATATTTTCAAAGCAGAATTCTTTACATTCTCCAGGCTGCCACAGATTAGACTAGCTGGTGGAAATATCTTTTAAATATCAGATTAAACAAATGAGGATATTCTTTCCGTCAAGTGCTCTACCTCCTCATTTTATTTCTTTTAGCTCCAGGCTAATGATATTGCTTCTGAATCAACAATGAGTCATGTCTCTTCAGCAGCCTGTCTCCTAGGTTTGTTTTTTTTAACAGCCTATTCACCCTCTTTGTTACATTGGCTTGAGATTAGAAATGCATAATCAGTCCCTCCACTTCCATCTCTTTCACATCTTCAGGACTTCTCAAAGCTATTACCCTTTGGATAATAAAGATCTGGAATTTTGTACTTTAAAATCTAGTATCAGTGAATAGCTCAACTGGAATATCAACCCACATTTTCTTTCTCCCCAAGAATCCTCTGAAATGTGGGCACTTTTTTTTTCTTTTTCTTTTGCTGAGTCTTCTAGGCAGTGGAGGAGTACAGATATATTTGTGGACTAGTGGCTGTGTAAGCATTCCTAAGAGTGCTGCACTGGAGGCAGCTGGGAGCACTGTCAGAAGCTGTGTGAATGAGCTTCCAGAGGGTGGGGAATACCTCACACATTACTTGAGTGACCACCAACCCTACTGCTAATTCATGGAGCAGCAACGATGACCTTTAGAGGGAGCAATGTCCAGGCTTCCTAGGATTAGGGTGACCAGATGGGATAAAGAAAATATCGGGACACATGGGGAGGGAGGGGGTCCTACCGGCGGAGCAAAAAAAAAAAAAGCGGAGTCCCGGCGGCAGAGCAAGGGGGAAAAAAAAAAAACGGAGTCCCGCCAGCAGAGCCAGGGAAAAAAAAAAAGCGGAGTCCCGCCGGCGGAACAAAACAAAAACAGGAGTGCGAAATATCGGGACAAATTGCATCCCGACCAAACATCGGTCAGGACGCGGGACAAACGCCTAAAAATCGGGACAGTCCCGATTTTATTGGGACGTCTGGTCACCCTAGCTAGGATCAAAGAGAGAGTCATGCTGGCACAGAAATTAAGTAAAGATGGGAGAACTGCAGAGAACACTATCTCTTCCTGCCCTCTAAAGAGAGAGATTGAGACTGAAAACTCCAGCATAAAATCAGACCTGACTTTACATAAGTGGTTATTTGGAGGATGTCTTTGAGCACTCGCTAGAGCAGGGATGGGGAACCTTTTTTCTGTCAGGGGCCATTGACGCACAGAAAAAGATCAGGTGGGCCACACACAGCCCTGCGGATGGGCGAGCTGGCGCTCGGAGCTCCAACTCTGCAGGGGTGCAGAGGCTCTGGGCTTCTGCTAGGCTCCAGGGTGGGGCCAGTAATGAGGGGTTCAGGGGGTGGAGTGTAGGAGGGGGTGAGGGCTCCGGTTGGGAGTGCAGGCTCTGGGGTGGGGCTGGGGATGAGGGGTTTGAGATGCAGGAAGGGGCTCAGGGCTGGGGCAGGGGGTTGGGGTACAAGGTCTGAGAGGGAGTTAGGGTATAGGAGGGGGTTCCGACCTGGGGCGCAGGTTCAGGGTGCAGGCTCCAGGGCTAAGGCAGCCTCCCTGCCTGCCCTGGCTCAGCACTGCTCCCAGAAACGGCCAGCATGTCCGGCTCCTAGGCAGAGGGGGCCAGGGGGCTCTGCGCTGTGTGCGCTGCCTGCACCTGCAGGCACCGCCCCCGGAGCTCCCATTGGCCATGGTTCCCAGCCAATGGGAGCTGTGGAGCTGGGGCCGGGGTCGGGGGACGTGCCGGCCACTTCTGGGAACTGTGTGGAGCTGACCAGACTTTTAATGGCCTGGCAACCCTAGCTTGCCCCTGCATCAGGGCAAGCCGGCACTCGCAACTCCAGCCCCGCAGGGAAGTGCCAAGGTTCAGGGCTTCTGGCCCGAGGCGTGGAGACTTGAAGCAGCCCACGGGCTGTAGGTTCCCCACCCCTGCACTACAGGTTATACTGACATGTAAACATCCATTCTAATTCAGGCTAACACTGAAGAGTGATTTCCTAGAAATTGGTACTCCTAATAAATATGGGTTTTATTCTTCTATGACTAAATTTCACACTGTGTTAGTGTCTTAAAATATCGGTGGCCAATTTCTACATTCTGTTGCTGAGTTCACTGGAGTTACTTTGGATTTACACCAATACTAATGAGGGCAAAAGGAATCCCTCTGTAGAGGTTATTTAAGGAGGGGGAATTTTTGAGTTGAGTGGAATAGATAATGGAAAATGGTGTTTGGCTAAATCAGGGTGTCAGGGCTAAGGAAATATTCCTGAAATATGTAAAGATAGATATCATTGCCTTCCATCATAGGGCAGGAGTGTGGCCTAGAGAGGACAGCACTGGAATACAGGAGTCAGGAAACCAGGATTCTGTTATCTACTTGCTACCAGTTTATTGTGTGATGTCACTGAACAGTCTTGTATCTTAGTTTATCTGTAAAATGGGGGCAATAATACTTATCCCCCTTTGCAAACTTCTTTGAGATCCTCCGCTAAAAGCATTGTAGAAGGGAAAAATATTAATCTGATGGAAATGTTATAGTATTTTTGATGTTCATATATACATATACAACATTCATGGATTTCCAGAAAGAATAAGTTACTGTACAGATAAGTAACCATTTTTTTAGCCCTGCTACCACTGTACATCTCATTGACAGAAGTACAGTTTAGTAATGGAACTTTACCTTCTTCAAGATGTGTTATGCATATACTCCCACTGCAGATGTATGTGCACCCAATGTACTCTAGTCGGAGACTTTTGCCAGCAATACCACTAGGAAGTGCATGCACCCCCTGCTCTCCTCATGCACCCATCTGAGGGCATAAAAGGGCATCTGTTGCCTCCCTCTCTGTTCTTTTGCACCGCTGTTTATCTAATGTCTGAACTAGCAGGGAAGGTGGGAGGGACATGGAATGTATATGCACACTACACATCTTGAAGAAGAGTTACTGTACAAATAACCATTTTTTCTCCTTTGAGTGATTATGCACGTGTACATTCCACTGCAGGTGACTCATCAGCTGTTCCTTTACAAGTGGAGGGACTTCAGACCGTCTGAACAGAGGTTGTAACACAGACTTGCCGAAGCTGCTATTATCAGAGGCTTGAGTGAAGCTGTAATGTCTGGAAAAACTATGTACAGATGACCACCTTGCTGCTTTGCATCTATCAGCTATTGTGATATTGCTTAGAAAGGCTGATGAAGTGGACTGAGCTCTGGTGGAGTGAGCCATTATTCTCGGTGGAGGAGAGATTTTAGCAAGACCATAGCAGAGCTTAATCCAGTCAGAAATCCAACACGAGATTTGCTGAGCTGACAATGATTGACCCTTAACTCTCTCAGTGCAGGCTACAGAAAGCCTGGGAGAGGTTCTGAAGGACCTACTGCAGTCCAGGTAGAACATTAAAGCTCTACGAATGCCTGAGATATAAAGTCCTTCAACTCTAGAAGAATGGGGTTTTGGGAGAAACACCAGAAGTTGAATAGTTTGGTTCAGATGGAAAACTGACACTATCTTTGGCAACAACTTGGGGTGTTGCCTAAGGGAAACCTTGTCTTTATGGAAAACCATGAAAGGAG